AGGAAAGCCCTCTGAGCCCCCCACGTCTGCGTGTACACACGTGTGTGCATTGTGGTGTGCAAGTGTTCACAACTGTGGAGTGTGCCTGTGCGAACAGGTGGTGGTGTGAGGGCCGTGGTGTGTGTTTGCATGTGCTCTGACATGTGTGCTCATGTGTGCATGCTTGTGGAGTGTCATGGGGTGTATGTGCACATATATACATGTTCAGTGTGCCTACTCATGTTGTGGAGTATACATACCTGTGTTTGTTGTGGTGTGGTCTGCATGTGTCCATGTTTGTATGTGTGTCTGTGGTATGTGGTGTGGTGTGCATTCGTGTGAGCTGCACATATGTGTATGCTTGTTCATGGCATAGTATGATGCGCATACCTGTGTGCACTGTGTTGGTGCATGCACATTTCTGTGCAGATGTTTGACGTGTGGTGTGCATGTGGTATGTGCTTAGATGCACTGTGTGTGTAGAGTTCTGTGGTGTGTGCTGCACCCGTTCATGCCTACCTGTGTGTACATGTGTGGGCTAGCGTATGTGTACAGTGGAGAGTGTGCTCTTTGTATGTGCATGTCCGCACATGTTTGTGGTGTGTGCACACGGATCTGTGCATCCCATGCTAATGGTGTGTTTGTCCATGTAGTTGTGCTTTGCACACTGGTGGTGCACTTCTGTATTTCATGTTGGTGATGCATGCGCACCTTTGTAATATGTGCTGGCAGTGCGTGTGTGTGCACATGCACATGTGTGTTATGTGTTTGTGTGTGTACATGCATGTGTGTTAGGTACTGGTGATGTGTGTGCTTGTGTGCCATATGTTGGTCATGTGTACACACCCCCGTGCTTTGCATGCTAGTGGCGAGAGTGCACACACAGCTGAGTGTTGCGTGCATGCACCTGTGTGCTACGTGGCGGTGTGTGGGGTGAGTGTGAATGTGGCGGGTGGCTCCGGCCGGGCCTAACCCTAACCCTGCGCCCCCACAGGCCTGGTCCTGGAAGGAGAACGTGCTAGAGTCGGGGACGTCGGGGCGCTACACGGTGGAGACAGTCAGTACGGAGGAGGGCGTCATCTCCACGCTGACCATCAGCAACATCGTGCGGGCTGACTTCCAGACCATCTACAACTGCACCGCCTGGAACAGCTTCGGCTCCGACACCGAGATCATCCGGCTCAAGGAGCAAGGTAAGGCCACCGGGGCCACCAGGGGACAGCCGCCCCCGCAGGGACCTCTCCCGGCCAGGGCCAGGGTCCTGAGGGACAGTGGTCCGGAGCGCCAGCGGGGCTCTCCTTCCTTGGCACGGGCACAGGCCCGACAGCCACCCTCCTGGCTGGCCCTCCAAGGCTAGGGGCCCCGGCCCCACGTGGGGGTGACCACGAGAGTGAGCAGCTGGCCACCCACACCCTTGAGGGTCTCACTCACATACACTCCCTCCTGCTGGGCCCTCAGGGGGTCGTCCTGGGTGGGGGGCCACTAACCTGGTGCCGGCAGCCTGGCACAGCCCCAGCTGAGACAACACGCCCTTCTGTGGCTCAGTGGCTCAGGGGCCCAGGAGACACCTGAGCTAAAGCTGGGGTGGGCTGGCTTGTCCCTCCCTGGTGGGAGCTGGGCACATCGGAGCCGGGAGGTACCAGCCAAGGGCAGCACTGGCTGGGGGTTCAGCCTGGGTGAGAGCGAGGAGGGGAGAGGCCTGGCCCCACTGCGAGCCCCACGCGCTGCCCAGCTCCAGATGCAGGGGCTCCATGCTGAGGAGGCCAGCCTCTGCTCCCAGAGCTTCGGGCGGACCTGGGGCGAGAGCCTCAGAGGGCACAGGAGGTGGTTCAGAGTCGCCCTGCAGACAGCCACGGCCACTCCGCCCTAATGCGTCTGACGCCTCAGGTGCAGGCCCACACAGCTGTCGGGCCTGGCTGGGGCTCTGGCCGGGCAGTGGTCCTCACTGGGCACCGGGTGGCCTCCGCGGCACACCATGGTCACACTGTGGTCACACCGTGGTCACACCGTGGTCACACCTGCCCAGCACAGTCCCACAGGTGCTGCTTCGTATACCGCTTCACGCATCGCATCTTCCACACCTCGCCCCCGCCTCCCTGGCCCCTGGAGCATCCCCTCCATACCCCTACGCCTCACCCACACCCTCCCTGTGTTCTCACCCCACCTCCGGCCCCACCCCTCGGGTCTCTGGGTCAGTCTGAGTGAACTCCCAGGTCAGCCGGGCCTGCCGGGCTGTGGGCGGCCCCGAGATACAGTGAGGAGGGGTCGCCGATCCTGTCCCGCCCACCCTGGCCAGCAGGCCCTGGCTGTGGACGCTTGCTTTATTTCCAAACAGGTTCGGAAATGAAGTCGGGAGCCGGGCTGGAAGCAGGTACGGAAGGAGCAATGAGGGCTGCCCGGGGGACCTCTGGCTAGCGGGGGGCCGGGGCAGGGAGGCCTCTGCAGGCCACTAACTTCCCTGCCCCCGAGAACTAGCACAGTCAGAGCAGCGAGGGGCCCGCAGTCTGGGTCTAAGGACCCCAGAACCCTCTCCAGTGCTCCCGCACGCCCCAAGCCCAGCTCCGATGCAGC